GCTGAATGTTCCAATATACTTATAAAATGTTTTTAAAATAATCAAAAATTTAAAAAAAATTGTAATTTTTTGGGCTTCTTTATTATTATTATTATTAAGATCTCTATGATATGTTTAATATACTTTTTTATTATGCAATTTTGATTAATGGGAGTAATGCAGGTAGGTCTTTGTTGATTAAATTGATTACTCAAGAGGATTAGAATTGTTTAATCATTGATTATAAGGTCTATGATTACTTTTATGTTTTGGGATACTTTTTTTTCAGTCTATGGTGATTCGTGCACAGTTTATGGTGATTCGTGCACAGTTTATGGTGATTCGTGCACAGTTTATGGTGATTCGTGCATAGTCTATGGTGATTCGTGCATAGTCTATGGTGATTCGTGCACAGTCTATGGTGATTCGTGCATAGTCTATGGTGATTCGTGCATAGTCTATGGTGATTCGTGCATAGTCTATGGTGATTCGTGCATAGTCTATGGTGATTCGTGCATAGTCTATGGTGATTCGTGCATAGTCTATGGTGATTCGTGCATAGTCTATGGTGATTCGTGCATAGTCTATGGTGATTCGTGCATAGTCTATGGTGATTCGTGCATATTCTATGGTGATTCATGCATAGTCTATGGTGATTCGTGCATAGTCTATGGTGATTCGTGCATAGTCTATGGTGATTCGTGCATAGTCTATGGTGATTCGTGCATAGTCTATGGTGATTCGTGCATAGTCTATGGTGATTCGTGCACAGTTTATGGTGATTCATGCACAGTTTATGGTGATTCATGCACAGTTTATGGTGATTCGTGCACAGTTTATGGTGATTCGTGCACAGTTTATGGTGATTCATGCACAGTTTATGGTGATTCATGCACAGTTTATGGTGATTCGTGCACAGTTTTTGGTGATTCGTGCACAGTTTTTGGTGATTCATGCTCAGACCCCACTTGATTCATGCTCAGACCCCACTTGATTCATGCTCAGCTTATCATGACTCATTCTCAATATACCTTTCTCAAGTAACAGAGCTGAACTTCCAGCTTAATTCACCCGTGAAAATTTGACTCAACGAACAACTGATACAGATTTTCTTTTTGCATCATTCTTTGTCATTTTAAAACCAACTTTGCATAAATTTTCGGAGTGCAAGACCCCCCCCCCTTCCACTCCGTAAATTTATGCAAAGTTGGTTTTCAAATGACAAAGAATAGGAGCTCAAGGTGATTGTAAGAGGTAATCTATTCTAATTTATACAGGTGAGATCTCTGTGAATATATAGAGGGGCGATTTATTCGACAGTAAATTGGGATTTATACGAATATGTATGGGGGGGATTTATCTGAATATACATGGGGATTTATCTGAATATTCATGGGAATTTATCTGATTATAAATTGGGATTTATACGAATATGTATGGGGGAGTTATCTGAATATACATGGGGATTTATCTGAATATACATGGAGATTTATCTGACTATACATGGGGATTTATCTGAAAAATATACATGATATATTCAAAGGAACTTATCTGTGTATACATGGATATCTCTCTGAATATCCATGGGGACTTTTTTCAATATATATGAGGTTTTCTCTGAATATTTGACTATCCTCTATGGTGAGGCGCGTTTATTTGTATTTAGAGATTTTTTCTATTTCTCGTCTTGATTTGGCGCGTTTTTTTATGTCTCGTCTAGATTTGGCGCGTTTATGTCTCGTCTAGATTTGGCGCGTTTTTTTATGTCTCGTCTAGATTTGGCGCATTTTTTTATGTCTCGTCTAGATTTGGCGCGTTTATGTCTCGTCTAGATTTGGCGCGTTTATGTCTCGTCTAGATTTGGCGCGTTTTTTATGTCTCGTCTAGATTTGGCGCGTTTATGTCTCGTCTAGATTTGGCGCGTTTTTTATGTCTCATCAAGATTTGGCGCGTTTTTTTATGTCTCGTTTAGATTTGGCGCGTTTATGTCTCGTCTAGATTTGGCGCGTTTTTTTATGTCTCGTCTAGATTTGGCGCGTTTTTTTATGTCTCGTCTTGATTTGGCGCGTTTTTTTATGTCTCGTCTAGATTTGGCGCGTTTATGTCTCGTCTAGATTTGGCGCGTTTTTTATGTCTCGTCTAGATTTGGCGCGTTTTTTATGTCTCGTCTAGATTTGGCGCGTTTATGTCTCGTCTAGATTTGGCGCGTTTATGTCTCGTCTAGATTTGGCGCGTTTTTTTATGTCTCGTCTAGATTTGGCGCATTTTTTTATGTCTCGTCTAGATTTGGCGCGTTTATGTCTCGTCTAGATTTGGCGCGTTTATGTCTCGTCTAGATTTGGCGCGTTTTTTATGTCTCGTCTTGATTTGGCGCGTTTTTTTATGTCTCGTCTAGATTTGGCGCGTTTATGTCTCGTCTAGATTTGGCGCGTTTATGTCTCGTCTTGATTTGGCGCGTTTATGTCTCGTCTAGATTTGGCGCATTTTTTTATGTCTCGTCTAGATTTGGCGCGTTTATGTCTCGTCTAGATTTGGCGCGTTTATGTCTCGTCTAGATTTGGCGCGTTTTTTCATGTCTCGTCTAGATTTGGCGCGTTTTTTTATGTCTCATCTAGATTTGGCGCGTTTATGTCTCGTCTAGATTTGGCGCGTTTTTTTATGTCTCATCTAGATTTGGCGCGTTTTTTTGTCTAGTTTAGATTTGGCGCGTTTTTTTGTCTCGTTTAGATTTGGCGCGTTTTTTTGTCTCGTTTAGATTTGGCGCGCGCCTTTCCCAGCCTCTAAAAAACAGATTAAAGAAGTGAACAGCTGTTTTTTGTTTACATATTTGCGATTAGTTTAATCCTACCATCCACCCTATCTTTCTTCCCCTACCCCATTATCTTTTACCTATACCCACACCCCCTTTTTCCTCTCCCACATCTACATCTTCCCTCTTTGATACGGACCCCCTTTTCTGTGCCTCACCCCCTTCCGTCTATACCTCATTCCACCCCCTTCCCATGTGTGAAGGGAGGGTAAATGGGTAGGCAGTTAAGAAGGATGTAAATCAGGAATAGGGTGACTCGAATCAGGAAAAGGGGTTGATGAAAGGGGTAGTAAGTAAGATAAGCCAGCTAGGAATAGGGTGAAATAAGAAAAGGTTGAGTAGGTAACATTGCTTTCCGGAAAAGGGTGAAGGGTGTTGAGTATTGGAACACTAAGCCAGGAGAGCACAAGGTGTAACCCGTTCTCGCACTTTCGTATAGTCAATATTGACTTATTAAATACGTACATATGTGACATACTAATTTATTGTGAATATTTTAGTTTACCTTGAAAAGCTTCATAGAAAACACCGACCTTACCTAACCTTCTTAATATGTTAAGATAAGCATCTTACTGAGGTGTTGCCTGGCTTTCTAGCCTGGCTTAGGTGCTCGTGTGCTCGTCAGAATTACTGCACTCAAAAAAAAAAAAACATTCAAAATAATAGTGAATTCGGCGGAGTATCAAACGGATGGGAGCCAGGTAGCTGTGAGAGCTGTGAGTGAGAGAGGTGGTGAGATAGATCACGAACACTGGCCGCTGAGAAATGTCTTAAGGGGGGGGGCGGGGGGGGCCAAGGTTAAAGCCACGCCAACACAAGTGTTTCTCACTCGCTTGAAACACATAAACACATATAACCCAATATGTAAATGTGCTACATATAGAGCACATAGCTGACGCAGTTTACCGTAAGTAATTAGCGGTAGAATGAGAGAGAGAGAGAGAGAGAGAGAAAGAGAGAGAGAGAGAGAGACAGACAGAGAGAGAAAGAGAGAGAGAGAGAGAGAAGAGAGAGAGAGAGAGAGAGAGAGAGAGAGAGAGAGAGAGAGAGAGAGAGAGAGAGAGAGAGAGAGAGAGAGAGGGAGAGAGAGAAAGAGAGAGAGAGAGAGAGACAGACAGAGAGAGAAAGAGAGAGAGAGAGAGAGAAAAGAGAGAGAGAGACAGAGAGAGAGAGAGACAGAGAGAGAGACAGAGACAGAGAGAGCGAGAGACAGAGACAGAGACAGAGACAGAGACAGAGAGAGAGACAGAGAGAGAGAGAGACAGAGAGAGAGAGAGACAGAGACAGAGACAGAGAGAGAGAGAGAGACAGAGACAGAGACACAGATAGAGACAGACACAGAGACAGAAAGAGAGACAGACAGAGACACAGACACAGAGAGAGAGAGACACACAGAGACAAACAAACAAAGCAACAGAGATCAGATCTTGTCTCTGTATATACAATTTTTTTTTTGTTTTACCCACTTCCTCTTCCGCCGTGGGGGGGGGGGGGAGCCCCCCCCCCCTCCCCCTTCCTCTTGACCCCTGTGTCATTGTCACAAATACTGTCTTTGTTGAGGCATTGTTTGTCCTTGCTTTGTTACAAGTTGTTTGGTGGTGAGGGCTAACGATGTTGTTGTTCGTCAGCTGTTGTTGTTTTGCTATTAAGGGGGTTTGAATAGGTGTTCTTGCTGGGGTTTCGTTTGTTATTGTTTGTTCTCCACCTGTTCTTCGTCCTGTGTTTGTTCTTTGTGTTGTGTTTGTTCTTTGTGATGTGTAATAAGTGTAAACATTGGTCTCCACAAACCACCCTATCTATCTACCAGTCCTCCTCTATCTACCAGCTCTTCCGCTCTACCAGTCCTATCTACCAGCTCTACTAGTCCACCCCCCTCATCTGTTCTTGCCTCCTCATCCTTGACATTCTTGAAGGGGCTTCCCTCGACTAAACGACCTTGATATAACAGATAACTACGTCGGGGACTTCCCGCACGTGAATAAGGTGTGTTCTCTGTTCTCTGGGGCTCTGTTTTGTTCTCTGGGGGCTCTGTTTTGTTCTCTGGGGCTCTGTTTTGTTCTCTGGGGGCTCTGTTTTGTTCTCTGGGGGCTCTGTTTTGTTCTCTGGGGCTCTGTTTTGTTCACTGGGGGCTCTGTTTTGTTTTCTGGGAGCTCTGTTTCGTTCACTGGGGGCTCTGTTTTGTTCTCTGGGGCTCTGTTTTGTTCTCTGAGGGCTATGTTTTGTTCTCTGAGGGCTCTGCTTTGTTCTCTGGGGCTCTGTTTTGTTCTCTGGAGCTCTGTTTTGTTCTCTGGGGGCTCTGTTTTGTTCTCTGGGGGCTTTGTTTTGTTCTCTGGGGCTCTGTTTTGTTCTCTGAGGGCTCTGTTTTGTTCTCTAGGGCTCTGTTTTGTTCTCTAGGGCTCTGTTTTGTTCTCTGGGGGCTCTGGTTTGTTCTCTGGGGGCTCTGTTTTGTTCTCTGGGGCTTTGTTTTGTTCTCTGGGGCTCTGTTTTGTTCTCTGGGGCTCTGTTTTGTTCTCTGGGGCTTCGTTTTGTTCTCTGGGGCTCTGTTTTGTTCTCTGGAGCTCTGTTTTGTTCTCTGGGGCTTTGTTTTGTTCTCTGGGGCTCTGTTTTGTTCTCTGGAGCTCTGTTTTGTTCTCTGGGGCTCTGTTTTGTTCTCTAAGGGATCTGTTTTGTTCTCTGGGGCTCTGTTTTGTTCTCTGGGGCTCTGTTTTGTTCTCTGGGGCTCTGTTTTGTTCTCTGGGGGTTCTGTTTTGTTCTCTGGGGCTCTGTTTTGTTCTTTGGGGTTCTGTTTTGTTCTTTGGGGCTCTGTTTTGTTCTCTGGGGCTCCGTTTTGTTTTCTGGGGCTCTGTTGTTCTCTGGGGCTCCGTTTTGTTCTCTGGGGCTCTGTTTTGTTCTCTGAGGGCTCTGTTTTGTTCTCTGGGGCTCTGTTTTGTTCTCTGGGGATCTGTTTTGTTCTCTGGGGCTCTGTTTTGTTCTCTGGGGCTCCGTTTTGTTCACTATGGCTCTTTTTTGTTCTCTGAGGCTCTGTTTTGTTCTCTGGGGCTCTGTTTTGTTCTCTGGGGCTCTGTTTTGTTCTCTGGGGCTCTGTTTTGTTCTCTGGGGCTCTGTTTTGTTCTCTGGGCTCTGTTGTGTTCTCTGGGGCTCTGTTTTGTTCTCTGGGGCTCTGTTTTGTTCACTAGGGCTCTGTTTTGTTCTCTGGGGTTCTGTTTTGTTCTCTTGGGATCTTTTCAGCGGCTTAAAGGGCTCGTTTTTGCCTTTTAGAGTCTTGGTGCTATTCTTAGGAACTCAATTTTGTTCCTGGGAGCTTAATTATTCCCTGAGAAATGTGATCATATTTCGTGAGGCTCATTTTTTATTTCTCATCACTTGTGTTAACAAGGAACTCAACTGAGCTCACAAAAGTAAGCTACAAAGGGTTTACTTTTATGGGGGCTTACTTTTATGGGGCTTACTTTTATCTAGCTTACTTTTGTTCGTCAGTGACTATACTGTGTTGACTGCTAACACGGGCTTAATGTCTTAATTCTTAACAACTAAATTAAAATACTCAAAGAGGTCGTATATAAGTTTCAATTGAGTTTTTGAGGATTTTTGAATGTGCATTCAAAACAGTATTTTGTATGGATATAAAATTTTGTATGCTTAATTTGCATACAAAACTGTATTTTGTATGAAAATACAATTTTGAGAGGCCTCATATGTCTCTGATTTCATTATTTATGAGGACCTCTCTGAGGACATCAAAATCTGGCTTTGATTTTGAAGGAAATTGACGAGGAGAAAACTCTATGCTAGGATGACTGGGTAGCACATATGAGGCACATGCTGGGACATGCTGGGACATGCTGGGACATGCTGGGAACTGGGAAATGCTGGGAACTGGGAAATGCTGGGACATGCTGGGAACTGGGAAATGCTGGGACATGCTGGGACATGCTGGGACATGCTGGCACATGCTGGCACATGCTGGCACATGCTGGCACATGCTGGGACATGCTGGGAACTGGGAAATGAGGACAATGAATCGCATTATGAGGACCAATGAGTTTGGATATGAGGACGAAACAGATGCATTTTTTTTTTACAGAGTGGTAAATCGAGGGAACGACATAACCATTGAACTTGCTTGTTCATTGGTCATTAGGAGAACTTGCATGCAAAGGTTGCACATTAAACCACACTTAAAGAACTAGCAAATCCAAACTTTGAATCTGTATTATATTGTGTTAATCTGACGCAATATACAAAGGCAAAAAACCCCCCATTATTCCAAATGAGAAATAGAACAATACACAAGGGGAGGAAATAGAGGTCGTATCAATTGCGTTGTTTATGAGATAAATAGAAGCAGAAATGAGATACAAATAGGAGACAAAGAGGGTAGAGTAAGCACCTTGACATTGGCCCAAAGCCTCAACAAGTTCTTGCTGTTTGCAACTGTGCAAGTTTTTCTGTGGATTGTCGCGTTATTTTCAAGGGCGGATACCTGGAATGTGTTCAAGCGGATGGTTAATTTGATGCTCAGGGGTGGCGTAGGTCCTCCCACAGCCAGGGTCAGGGGTGGTGTAGGTCCACCCACAGCCAGGGTCAGGGGTGGTGTAGGTCCACCCACAGCCAGGGTCAGGGGTGGTGTAGGTCCACACCCCAGCCAGGGTCAGGGGTGGTGTAGGTCCTCCCACAGCCAGGGTCAGGGGTGGTGTAGGTCCACGCCAGGGTCAGGTGTGGCGTAGGTCCACCCACAGCCAGGGTCAGGGGTGGTGTAGGTCCTCCCACAGCCAGGGTCAGGGGTGGTGTAGGTCCCCCCAGCCAGGGTCAGGGGTGGTGTAGGTCCTCCCACAGCCAGGGTCAGGGGTGGTGTAGGTCCCCCCAGCCAGGGTCAGGGGTGGCATAGGTCCTCCCCCAGCCAGGGTCAGGGGTGGTGTAGGTCCACGCCCCAGCCAGGGTCAGGGGTGGTGTAGGTCCACACCCCAGCCAGGGTCAGGGGTGGCATAGGTCCTCCCCCAGCCAGGGTCAGGGGTGGTGTAGGTCCACACCCCAGCCAGGGTTAGGGGTGGCGTAGGTCCTCCCACAGCCAGGGTCAGGGGTGGTGTAGGTCCCCCCAGCCAGGGTCAGGGGTGGTGTAGGTCCACACCCCAGCCAGGGTCAGGGGTGGTGTAGGTCCTCCCACAGCCAGGGTCAGGGGTGGTGTAGGTCCCAGCCAGGGTTAGGGGTGGCGTAGGTCCACACCCCAGCCAGGGTCAGGGGTGGTGTAGGTCCACGCCCCAGCCAGGGTCAGGGGTGGTGTAGGTCCACGCCAGGGTCAGGGGTGGCGTAGGTCCTCCCACAGCCAGGGTCAGGGGTGGTGTAGGTCCACCCACAGCCAGGGTCAGGGGTGGTGTAGGTCCACACCCCAGCCAGGGTCAGGGGTGGTGTAGGTCCACGCCCCAGCCAGGGTCAGGGGTGGTGTAGGTCCCCCCAGCCAGGGTCAGGGGTGGTGTAGGTCCACGCCAGGGTCAGGTGTGGCGTAGGTCCACACCCCAGCCAGAGTCAGGGGTGGTGTAGGTCCACGCCAGGGTCAGGTGTGGCGTAGGTCCACACCCCAGCCAGAGTCAGGGGTGGTGTAGGTCCACACCCCAGCCAGGGTCAGGGGTGGTGTAGGTCCACACCACAGCCAGGGTCAGGGGTGGTGTAGGTCCACGCCAGGGTCAGGTGTGGCGTAGGTCCACACCCCAGCCAGGGTCAGGGGTGGTGTAGGTCCCCCCCCCCCAGCTGGGATATGAGGCCAAGAAGCTGGGATATGAGGACAAGGAGCTGGGGCAGAAGATCGGAGTAAAGGAACTGTTCCCAGCAACTTGAACCAACGGGGATCGAACGCCGACCTGCAAAAAAGAGTTACTATACAACAATTTATGAAGCAAGAACGTTGTTCCTTCTCCATAACAAAAAAATATATAATTTGTCCCGCAAAAGTACTTTTTGAAATCAGGATGACAGCATCACTTCCTGCTGTCATTTAGCAACCCAGAAAGGCTCTATCTACCTCACGGCTGTCTATCTTCACTTGCAACTTGTCCCCCAACCAATTGGACTGGACGGTAGAGCGACGGTCTTGCTTCATGCCGGATCGGCGTTCAATCCCCGACCGCCCAAATGGTTGGGTACCATTTTTTCCCCCCAACCCATCCCAAATCCTTATCCTTCCCCCCTCCCCTTCCCCCCCCCCCCCATGCAATCTGTCCTGAGGCTGTGCTCGTTCAAGCGGCGGCCAAGCCTCTCCACGTCATAACTATTCAATCCGGTGCAAGTTTCGGGCCCTAGAGACCAAGGCATCAGACCTTATATGGACCTAACCAACTAAACTCACATCTGGAGCATCTCTGAGGCCCATCAGATGCTCATCAGATCAACCATGACCTTCAGCACTCATGACGACTCGGGGGGGGGATGATGAGGGTACCCACAAGAACCAACAGAGGATTGTATGACCGGATAAAAGTGTTCATGAAGCATTTACGCGACCACTTTGAAACAGTTTACAAGCGTCAAACTTCCCACTCAAAGGTTATTGTCGTTGCGTACAGCCTCGTAGTACTTCGCTGCTCATAAGTTGTTTAATAAGTGTAAACAAAGCCACCATTGTTGAAAGATGTACAGATTTCGTAAGTGCTTGCATAAACCCCTGATGAATCCGGGCACGGGTAAGAAGGTTCGAAGAGGCTGGTAGATACTAGTGAGTAGATAGGGGGGTTAGTAGACAGGTTGCGGGGGGGGGGGGTTGAAACAGGAATAGTCTGCAGATCAAGGAAATCTTCAACAAGGACTGGAAGACAAGGTGTGTTCAGACTCGCTACTGAACTAACGGGGCGGCCATTTAGGAGATTTCAACGCCGTCAGGCCGCCACAAGAAGTGATCCTTATCAAGGGCAACTGGCTGCCCTCGGTCATTGAGGACACTATAACCACCGGTTTGTCGGAGCCGTTGTGGAGGGGGAGCTTTTGGTCACGTCGAAGCCGCAAAACAGGTTATAGCAGGATACACTGTATACCCCACCTTAATAACACTGGGTATCTTGCGTATGATGATTCCGGGGCTTAGCGTCCCCCGCGGCACGGTCCTCGACCAGGCCTCCTCGTTGCTGGACTGGTCAACCAGGCTGTTGGACGCGGCTGCGAGCAGCCTGACGTATGAGTCACAGCCTGGTTGATCAGGTAATAGGGTAGTACAATAGTCAGGAGAGAAATACGAAAGAGTACGCGCAGATAGCGGGTTTGAGTAGTCCAACAGACATGACCATTGGAAATCTTACATGTGGATAGATAGTATGGTTGAACAGTACCACAGACAGGGATAGCGATAGATAGTGTATCAGGACGACGATAAGGGAGAGGGAAGGGAGGGAACTATCAGGATAAATCTCCAAACCATTACGACTATATAGCACTTGGAAGGGGTGAGGATAAGGATTTGGGGACGGGACGGGGGCAAGGAATGGTGCCCAACCACTGGGAAGGGTTCAGGATAAGGATTAGGGATGGGACGGGGGCAAGGAATGGTGCCCAACCACTGGGAAGGGTTCAGGATAAGGATTAGGGATGGGACGAGGGCAAGGAATGGTGCCCAACCACTTGGACAGTCAGGGATAAGGGAGAGGAAAATTTTATTGCTGATAAGGCCTTCAGTAATATTAGGCCTACTGATGTTATGGGTAACTAATAGTGCATATTCTCCATTCATATTCTCCATTCATATTCTTTATTCATGTTTATTCTGTTTATTTACATTGTTAAATTTACCATTTACCATTTACCATTTATTTTTCATTGTTTATTTACCCATTGTTAAAATTCTTTATTCAAAATATTTATTCAAATTCTTAATGACTAAAGAATATGGAAACGATCAGTCATATGCCAAGTCTATATACCTTATTCATATACATTTTCATCATTTATAATACAATTCTATATTCTATTCTTTATTCTCAACATCAACCCCCCCCCCACCCCATCCTAACGCCCTCTCCAAAACCCAGGCCAATAAAGTCCCCATTTATCCCACCTCGATATTTAAAAACGAAACCGGTTTGGCCGCGAATTGATCCCACATCGAGTCGTATATAATGAATGTTTGGCGTCTGTGTTTAATCTTCGCGGCGCCAGAGGCCAAACTGGACCCCAAAAAAAGCCCAACAGTTGCCGGTATTATCGTGTGGGTAAAGTTCAAGGCTGGAGACCACCTTATTAGATCAGTTTGACGGCTGTTGACGGTTGGCGCTTGTCAGTCAGTGTTTGGTGTTGGACTTATGGCCTGTCAACCTCTGGAGGATTATTAAGGCCCACCACAATAGCTTATTGACCAACCAGGAAGTTTGGTGTTGGACTTAAGACCTATTAACCTCTGGAGGGTTATTAAGACCACCATAACACCTTACTGACCAACCATGCAAGTTTGGTGTTGGACTTAAGACCTATCAACCTCTGGAGGGTTATTAAGACCACCACAACACCTTACTGACCAACCAGCAAGTTTGGTGTTGGACTTAAGACTTATCAACCTCTGGAGGGTTATTAAGACCACCACAACACCTTACTGACCAACCAGCAAGTTTGGTGTTGGACTTAAGACCTATCAACCTCTGGAGGGTTATTAAGACCACAACAACACCTTACTGACCAACCAACAGTATACTTTAGTCCTGAATATACTCCAGGACTAAAATATACTCTCATAGTATACTCACCAAGAAACAAGGTATACAACTCTGTATATTCTGAGGGCGAATCTCTGTTCGCTAACGTGTATTTTCTAGTATAGTTCAATCACAGGTTAAATACATTTGTAAACAACATTTAAACAAACAATACAAACTCACAAATGATCGTTAGCAAGATAAACAAGTTACATTGTTTACGTGAAGTTACTAAACTGTGAAACAAACAAAATTTAGTTCCTGGGTAGTTAGTGTATCTTTATTAGTGTTTATGTTTGCAAAAGTCTAGAAAACGGGTATTACTCCTCTCAAACTTTGCTTTAGACAACTTTAGACAGTCTTGAAGGTGTCTGTAGACTGGCGAGTCCTTACCTAGACCTAAGACATTGTCTCATCAGTCGCCAGCCTTCAGAGGCCTTCAAGATGTCTTCCCTAAGCTGTCTAAACCAAAGTTTGAGAGCATAACCCCCATTTTCTAAACTTTACTAACATAACCGGAAACTAACACATATACATCACCCAGAAACACAAACTGTGTTACATTGTGTTACCAAAACAAATCAACAGGACTGAATACCACCAAATCGTTGCTGTAAGCAGAACTAGAGAGAGAGAGAAAGAAGATTAAGGGAAGAAGTAGATAGAGAACGATTAATAGTGTTAGGAAGTGTGTATACGAAGCCCTATCATCCAGATTTATGGGGGTACTTAGGTAGACTTCACTGGTAGACGAGATGCAGATACGGAAGACGGATGCTGCAAGTAGAACGTCTCTCCCTTATAAAAGTGACTCCAGCATCTTGATGTCTGCGAACTGGTGGTCTCTATACACGGCAGGTACTGTGGGCACAATGGTCCAGTGAGTGATGGGTTATATTCACCAAGATGGGTATACCTCGTTCTTCTGTGGGTATACGAGGAGTATACTTTAGTAATGATATATGCTTAGGACTAAAGTATACTTGCTGGTTGGTCAGTAAGGTGTTGTGGTGGTCTTAATAACCCTCCAGAGGTTGATAGGTCTT